TATGATTGTGCAGCTACCCATCCAGGCTGTCACATTGTAAAGTTTGCAGATGATACAGCGGTGGTGGGATGCATCACAAACAATGATGAGTCCAGCTTCAGGCAAGAGGTGGAACGCCTGGAGAGCTGGTGCAAAGAGAATAACCTTCACATCAATGTGAAGAAGACAAAGGAGATGATTGTGGACTTCAGAAGGAACAAACACACCTATACCCCCCTGAACATAAGATGATCTGCAGTGGAAGTGGTCTCCAGCTACAAGTACTTGGGTGAACACCTGAATGACAACCTCAGCTGGGGCAACAACACCACCAGCCTGATCAAGAAAGCTCATCAGAGACTCTACTTCCTCAGACGGCTGAGGCGAGCTGGTCTGAGAAGCTCAGTCCTCACCTCCTTCTACAGGTGTGCAGTGGAGAGCATCCTGTGCTCCAGCATCAATGTGTGGCATGGAGGCTGCACAGCTGCAGAAAGAAAAGCTTTGCAGAGAATGGTGAAGGCTGCACAGAAGATGTTGGAGTCAGCCTCCCCACCATCACAGACATTTACACCCCGAGATGCAGGAAGAGGGCCATCTGCATCATGAAGGACCTCACTCACCCAGCATATAAACTTTTTGCCCCACTCCCCTCAGGAAGGAGGTTAAGGAGCATTAAGTGTAGAACCACTTGATTGAGGAACAGCTTCTACCCTCAGGGTATTGGACTCATGAATCTCTAACCAAAATAATCACTGTGAAAAATCACATCATGTTGCTGCTGATCTATTTCATGTTGCTGTGTTCATGCATGCTCATCTACTCACACAGACTCATGCTCATGTTTGTGCTGCTGTTAGACATAATGTTTTTATACTATTAGTGTTTAGTGTATTTTTAGTTGATGTTTTTCTTAGTTCATATCTTAGACTGTTTTTCTTTTACATTTTATTGTTGGATGAAACTGGGACCCTGTGTACATAATTTTGCCCCACCACATGTACCACATGTGGTGCAAACGAAAATAAAGAATCTGAGTCTCTTATCAGCAGGACATATTGGACTGGAACAGGACATGTATGCAGATAGTAGGACAGTGTTTAGATGTGCTGTAGGAGTGACAGATAGCTTCAAGGTGGAGGTGAGAGTGCATCAAGGATCTGCTCTGAGCCCCTTCTTGTTTGCTCTGATGATGGATCGACCAACAGATGAGGTCAGGCAGGAATCCCTGTGGACTATGATGTTTGCATATGACATTGTGGTCTGTGGTTAGAACAGGGAACAGGTGGAAGATAACTTGGTATGAGGTATGCATTTGAACAAAGAGGAATGAAAGTCAGCCGTAGTAAGACAGAGTACATGTGTGCGAATGAGAGGAGGGCGGTGGAAATGTGAGGCTACAAGGAGCAGAGGTCACAAAGGTGCAGGACTTCCAAGTACTTGGGGTCCAGTGTCCAAGAAAATGGGGAGTGTGGTAAAGAGGTGAAAAGGAGAGTTCAGGCAGGATGTTGGATGGATAAATGTTTCAGGAGTGATTTGCGACAAAAGGGTGTCAGCAAAGGTCAAAGAAAAAGTTTTCAAGATAGTGATGAGACCAGCTATGTTGTATGGTCTGGAGACAGAGACATGGACAAAAAGACACGAGACAGAACTGGAAGTGGCAGAAATTAAAATGTTGAGGTTCTCCTTAAGAGTGACATGGATGGATAAGTATCCTGATGCATGCTCAATAATCCAGGTAGGAAAATCTAAAAAAGTTAAATCTGGTCCTCTGGACATTCAAAAAAAACAAAACAAAGCAAAAACAACAAAAAAATGTAGAAACGTTTCATCTCTCATCCAAGAGACTTCCTCAGTCTGAGGTGCTGTTTTCAGCTCAGTCTCTTAAATAGCACCTTCTCAGGGTGGATCAACCAGTTTTGCTGCTGACAACCAAAACCAGCTGATCACATGCTCAAGAAGGACCATCAGCCTAACAATGGATCATTAGCACACTGATGGCTGTTTACTGTTCACAGAGGGCTGAGTGATACTAGCAATCACAGCATTGTAAGAGGGGGACAGTTGAACCTGGAGGCTCCACCCCTGTTTAACGATGGACGGTTTCTTTTCACAAAGATGGCCTCCTTTACTCCTCTCTCAAACCATCGTTCCTCTCTGTCCAGGATGTGAACATCTTCATCCCTGAAAGAGTGACCTCTGACCTGGAGATGAGGGTAGACCTCAGAGTCCTGGCCTGATGATGTTGATCTTCTGTGCTGGGCCATCCTTTTGGCCAGTGGCTGTTTTGTTTCCCCGATGTAAGACTGATCACAGCCCTCCTGACACTGAACAGCATACACAACGTTACTCTGTTTGTGCCGGGGGACTGGATCTTTGGGATGAACCAGTCTTTAATGTATTTTGGGGTTTAAAAGCCACTGGGACGTTATGTTTAAAAAATAAACGTCTCAGTTTCTCTGATACTCCCTCAACATATGGAATGACCACTGGTCTAAGCCTGGGTTCCTCCTTTTCACCTGTTGGCTGACTGGAGTCCTGTTTGGGTTTCTTCTCCGCTTTCAGGAAGGCCCAGTTAGGATATCCACATTGCTCTACAGCCTGTCTTGTGTGGGATTTCTCCTTCTGCCTGGCTCCTGAGCTAGTGGGGACGCTGTCTGCTCTGTGATACAGAGTCCTGATGACTCCTAACTTGTGCTCCAAAGGGTGATGGGAGTCAAACTGCAAATACTGGTCTGTGTGGGTGGGTTTGCGGTACACCTCAGTTTGCAAATGTCCTCTATCAGAGACTGAGACCTCACAGTCCAAGAAAGCCAACTTGCCATTTTTTACATCTTCTCGTGTGAACTTGATGTATTTATCCACAGAGTTGATGTGGTCAGTAAAATGTTGGACTTCCTGAGATTTGATTTTAACCCAGGTGTCGTCAACATACCTGAACCAATGACTTGGTGG